TCTTTTTGAGACAGGGTCTCCCTGTAGCCCCAGCTGTTCTGGAACTCACTATGTAGACCAGGCTGGGCTTGAACTCACAGAGCTCCGCCTGCCTCTGGCCTCCTGAGTGCTGGGATTAAAGGCATGCGCCACCGTGCCTGGCTCTCTTTCACAATTTTCATCAACTCTTTAAAAATTAATGACATGGGTCTGGAGAGATGGCTCAGTGGTTAACATCACTGGCTACTCCTACAGAGGACCGAGCTTGGTTCCCAGCACCTACCTATGTGGCAGTTCACAAACATACATAACTCCAGTTTCAGGTTATCTGACGCCCTCTTCTGGCCCCTGGGAGTATTGCATGCAGGTGATGCATCTGCAGGCAAAACACTCCTACATATAAAATAAAAATAAATAAATCTTGGGGCTGGATCTCTATGAGATGGAGGGCAGCCTGGTCCACATAGTGTGTTCCAGGCCAGCTGGGGCTACAGGAAGACCCTGTCTTAAAAAGACCAAACCAGCCAGGTGTGGTGGCACATGCCTGTAGTCCCAGCACTTGGGAGGCAGAGGCAGACGGATCTCTGTGAGTTCAAGGCCAGCCTGGTCTACATAGTGAGTTCCAGGACAGCTGGGGCCACAGGGAGACCTTGCTTCTAAAAGACCAAACCAAACCAAAGACCCCAAACCCTAAAGCATTAATGAGCCTGTGAGCTCCAAAGGACAAGGCGACGCCTACAGCCTCCGCTTCAGTTCTTTCATGTCATGAGAGTAGAAGATGCTAGAGAAAGGTTTTGTCTGGTTTAGATTTTTCTTTCCTGTAGGCTCTAAAATAGAAAATAGAGGTTCTTTTTCAGAGTGTTTGATCTCCAAATCAAGATTTGAGTGAACACGAGCATTTAGATGCTTGACACTAGGCACAGCTCAGTGGCAAAGCTTGCCAAGCCCGAGGCCCTGGGTTCCATTCCAGCACTGCAAAATGGTATTCATGTTTCAAGTTATTTATTTTTATTTTATGGGTATGAGTGCTTTGCTTGCATGTATTTTTTTTTTTTTTGAGACAGGGTCTCCCTGTAGCCCTAGCTGGCCTGGAACTCACTATGTAGATCAGGCTGGCCTTGAACTCACAGAGATCTGAGTGCCTTTGCCTCCTGAGTGCTGGGATGAAAGATGTGCACCATCACACCCAGCTTTTGCTTACATGTATGTAAGCACACCACATGCATGGAATGCCTGTGGAGGCCAGAAGAGGGCATCAAATCCCCTGGAACTAGAGTTATGGATGGTTGTTAGGTGTCATGTTGATGTTGGGAACTGAACCCCATTCTTCTGGAAGAGCAGTTAGCACTCTTAAGTACTGAGCCATCTTTCCAGCCCAATATTCTTAGCTATTAGGAGGTTTACTTAGAATTCTCCTCTTTATTCTTTTGTTGGGAAACTCATGATTGATGCTTTTCAAGAGCAAACACTGCTTAGGGCTAGTGACTTTCCTTCAAGTTACTTATGAAAAGAGATCAAAGAGTTATCATGGAAAAAATGAATTGGAAGTCACCTAAAGATCACTTTGTGATATGTTTTTACGGCTTTATTGAGGTATAATTGACATGTAGTAAGCTGCCCATAAAGTGTATTTATTCAGTTTTGGCATGTGAACACCTGCAAAATATCACCACAGTCAAGATAAGGAAACTCTGCCTCCTGCTTGTTTCTCTTCGCGCCTCTTTGTGGTCGCTCCCTCCACTTTTCTCCTTGCCCTAGTCCCAAACGATCAGTGGTTTTTGTTGCTCTCTGCTAGTTTGTACTTTGTAAAATTTTATAGAAACGGAGCCATGCAGTATGTACTCCTTTTTCGCACAGTGGCTTTGGCTTTCTTTTATCTAGGATGGTTATTTTGTGACTCATCCGTGTTGCTCAGCCTGTGAACAGCATTACTGCATGGTTTTCCATAGTGCAGGTGTAAAATAACCTGCTTATCCATCCATCCAAAATTATAGGTTGTTGTCTGTGATCTTGATTTGATGCACTAATTTTATTCACAGTAAAGCAGAGAGTCAAGGAGAGGAAGCATCTAGAAAGGGGTCTTGAACAAGGTCCATAATATATTTTAAGGATGATGAGAAAGAGGAGCTTGTTAGGCTGAAATTCTGTGCTAATGGGCCTGGAAGTTTGTGGTTTAGCTTGGCCTTTGCTATCTCTAATCCCTTCCCCTAACTCTGAGTATATAGATTTTTTTTTGT